GTATAATATATAGTATATAAATAAATAATAATAATATAATATAACACACACATATATATATATATATATAATAAATATATGCATGTATATATGTATGTATGAATGGATGTATGTATTTATGTATGTATGTATGTATGTATGAATGTATGTATGTATGTATGTATGTATGTATGTATGTATGTATATATGTATGTATGTATGTATGTATGTATGTATGTATGTATGTATTTATATAAATATAAAAACATGTATATATATAATAATATAATAATATGGATATAGATATATAAATATATATATATAATATATAGTGTATAATATATAATATATAACAAATAATATATTATATAATACACATATGTGTGCTTGTGTGCGTGTGTGCGTATATATATATATATATATATAGACGTTACATTATAGAACGTAAGATTTTTTTTCAATCTTGTCCCTAATCCCAACATTCTCAGTATTTCAAAATATTTTATTATTCCTTGAGAGGACGATAAACTTGTGTTAATATATTTTATCAATGGTATTGCTGATCTATGTGCAGCATAGTGTGTATGCAAGAACAGCTTCCACTTCCTATCACAACCCTTGTCCTCTAAGCTCCAGCTGGGATGGTCACCTCAGCTCTCAATGGGGAGCGTGCCCACACATTCAGCAGGTACTCCTTCTCAACGATACGCACCTGTTACTACCAGTACACACTTTGTGTAACATGTTCTTGTACAACCTACGACACGTCTAATGAACGAGACTATCTAACCCCTAACCAACATACGCAAGCCTCAATAGGCTATGCCAGCCCTATAACATATCCTGACTTTCGGTCGCCACTATTGTACTCTAGTATCTAGCTAATCTCTAGACCGTGTGGGGAGGGTAAGTAAACCTCAACCCAACTGCAAGCTATCCTCAATTCTGGAGACCCATTTTCTCTCAGTTCCCGAATTCAGGAGGCGTCCTTATATCTAGTGTTCCTGAATATATCGGCTGCTTAATCGAGTTCATAGGCCAAATTGGAGTTCATCCATCGTTCGGCTTCGTCGATGGGCATGTTCTTTCGGTTGGCATAGTCGTCAATCTGTTCCTTAGTCATCTTACCTACGGCAAAGTATTCGGACTGCAACGGAAACGGAATCATTTGATACTTAGCAAAGCGACGACAATACTACCTTGGTAATTGGTATAGTTCGGTATCTTTGCAGAAATGCGATCGTATAACAAACGAAGAAGAGGCGTATGAATGGACCCAGTCTGCATACGTTGTGTGATGGCAAACATTGTATACATGCTCCGGGGGGCGATACTTCTGAGTACATGGATGAGTTATATATCTCATTAGGACTCAAACTTTACAGCACAATAGAACTAGCGATGGTGTACGCCGAGTTGTGGCACTACTGAGAACTCGTATAGATATAGATATAGATAGATAGATGGATAGATAGATGTGTGAGTGTGAGTGCGAGTGTGTATGCATATATATATATAAGTTCGACATACACGTACGTGTTCTATGTCACACACCTTCTGGTTACCAAACACCAGCGCAGAGACCGACGCCGCGGGGCTCATAGCCAGCGACTCCGTTAGCTCGATTCCTGTTTCTTTCTCAATGTCTAACCAATCCCATAGCGCCCGTTTCTCCGTATGGTCCGGTTGTGAAGGGTATCCAGGTGCGGGTCTGATACCCGCGTACTTGATCTTGTGCAATTCTTCGGCCGACATGTTCTCCTCGTTGGCGTAGCCCCAGTACTGCTGACGCATCTTCTCGTGCAGGAGCTCTGTGGAGCGGGAAAGGAATGTGATTTTTAACATTTTAACCGCGATTCGGATTCCAGAGTAGATACGAGTTCTAAAAATGGATACAGGAGCATAAAGTATGAAAGGTATTTCCGACGCATACTCCATCGCTTGTGAGGAATGATTGTCGGAAAGCCGTGTGAAGATCAGTGGAGATGTGCTATTGAAGCAGATCAATAGAGGTCACATACTGTCACACATATGAACACAGCATTCAATATTTATAAAACATCGGTACCATATCAACTCTCACTTCAATAAATTATATCCAACAGAGTCTACGTAATGTGGTAAATGTGACAATACAAGATCAAACGTTCACACAAAACACCATACAACTCCACCCAATAATGTGCCACTCACTGTCGCAAAAAAGTAATTGCAAGATCAAAAGTACACGAAACGCCATAGACAACCCCACGCCCCCAACAAAATCCATCCAAAAATAAACCACTCACTGTAGCAAATATATATATAATACAAGGTCACGCATTCATACAATCAGCATTGGCATAATCCATTCCATAAACATACAATATAGTGTATTTGATAACAATAATATAGTTTACATTTGATATCCAAACGATACACTCAGTTTACGACCATACAATAAACTCGGTTTGCATCCATACAAACCTACCTGCGAATGCCTCCGCCAGTCGATCCGCCAGGGCCTTTACCATAATAGAGTTGTAGTCGTCATGGTTATCCACGTACACCTTGGACAATTCCTCAACACCGAACCCACAGCTGACCGCAAACCCTCCCAAATAATCGGGAATGCCCGAATCTTTTGGGGCCACGAAATCGGACAGACAGAAATAGGGATCGGAGCGAGCGTCCTTTTCGGCTTGCTGACGCAGGTTATAGAAGGTATGGCTCACCTGTGGATAGAAGACGACAATGATACGCGTAAGAATAGTTATAACGGAATGGATCCGTACAGTGATAATGACATGGAGAAGTATAGTGCACCAGCATGATTCGGATATTATGAAGAAAATGTTGTTGGATGGAGGTTGGCCACGTATGGATCAAGACAACATGCGGACAACTGACTATAGCGCCATTCAGTCGGGCGTAATTCTACAATCAAGATACACGGTTTCTGAGAATAGGATGAGCATATATACATATATAATATATATATGTGTGTGCGTGCGTGTATGTGTGATAGCTGTTATAGCCGTTTGAGTATAGTGCACCCGTGATGTTTTTAAACGGTCGAAGGGCAAAATATACATAGGCATCCACTCAACTAGTGTTAAAGATTTAACGTTAGCCTTTCTAACCAGGAAATATTTTACCAATTACAACAAACACTTTATCAAACGCTATCTTTCGGCGTATTTGAGTAAGTGTTATTTCAACAAGATCACTGAATGATATAGAACATGTGGTGTGCAGGCCGAGTAATATCACCAGTTACATAGCGCGTTGCGATGTGTTCGCACAAAAAAACAGTTCCTACGATCGCGATCAGCCTTCTTGTCAGACTGAATATCAGTTTTCTCAAGTACTACTGACGTGATTTCTCCAGTTATTTTTGAATTTATCGTTAAAAAAGATAAATTTAACATACCGTTAAAAAAAAGATAAATTTTAGCATACCGTTAAAAAAGATAAATTTAAGCATACTGTTAAAAAAGATAAATTTTAGCATACCGTTGTGCGGGTCTCGTCCGTGTACACCTCGATGTCATCGCCCACGCTGTTGGCCGGGTAGATGCCGCAAATACCACTGCGTATGCATAAACGAACAAAAAGTTCGGTACTGCAGTCAGTTCAGGCGCACGAAAAAGAACAGATTCATAAACTCAACCATGATCGATACGGCAATTACACGGGACGGTTAAAAGCCGCAAATGTCACTGCGTACGTTTATATGAAAGTACAAAGCGTTCGTTCTTTCTAGCACACACGCACAGATAGAGATACATACACACAGAGACAAAGAATATCTTGTAGTCACGAAGTTTTTCATGTCCCACACGCATACATACACACACCACACACATATATATATTTATGCATTTATATACATATACATATATATATACGCGCACACACATATGGAGAGGGAGAGAAACACAGAGAGAGAGATCCGTGGTAGACTTACGCGGCCTTGATCTTCTTGCTGGCAATGAGGTCCTTGAGCATATCCTGTGCTTCATCAAACAGCCGCTTGGCCTCCTCTCCCACAGTCTTGTCTTTGAATATCTTGGGATACCCTCTGTTCGGGTAACGCCCTCGCAGCTGCCACACTTCAAAGAACGGTTTCCAATCAATGTACGGCAGGAGCTCTTCCAGGTCGAAGTCTTTGAACACAACATTGCCCAGTTGGGCCGGTACAGGGGTAGGGTACTGGGTGAAGTCGATCTTGAACGCGTTTTTGCGCGCGACCTGAGATGGGATGTTGGGAGAGGACGAGAGAAATAAACGTTTAGACTCTTGGCCTGAGACAGGGTGCTGGGAGAGCGATAGGGCAATAAACGTTAGAACTGTTGGTTCAGATCCGGAAAGAAGTACTTCCGATGTACGGGTACAGGGGTGAGTACCCACAACTCAGCCAAACCTCTCTACAAAAAACCAGCAGGCTCAAAGGCCATAAGGCTTTATTCCCCGAGCCCCCCTCATCCACGGTCTGTGCTAAAAATAGAACCCTGGCGAGCTAAAAATAGATGCATACCTCCATTTTCACGTAGACACGGTCCTTGAGCGAGTCGTAGTGATCCTCTCGCAGCTCTGCGTACTCTTCTGCGATCTCGGTAATGTATTCGGATTTCACCTGTGCATGATGTGTACAGATACACGTGGTATAAGTAGGCGGTATGCTTGTCTGAATACACACAAGCAAAAAGGAATATATGTACATATGCCAGTATAAATGTACAAATGTATAACATATGTGAGTGTGTGTGTGTTATATATGCAAACATATGTACATATGTACATTAACATATGTATGTGTATATTATATATACAAGTACATATGTACAAATGTATAACATACGTGTGTGTATTATATATGCACGTATAGATGTATAAATATATAACATACGTATGTGTGTATCATATATGCAAGTACATATGTACAAATGTATCACATACGTGTGTGCATAGTTGGTGTACATAGTAAGCATCATATACCTATTACATCAAAAGCCGAAAGCGCTTATGTATCTTTGACGAGTATAGTCTAATGGGCGATGGGCGATACCTAGAAACCGCTCTGCTCAACGAGCCCTATTTAATATACTCCTACACTTCAGAGAACCCAACTAACTGTCAACTGTGATAGTATTTACTTCATAGAAGTGAATCCGTATAACCTATCCACAATACATTGGCATGCCCATAAACACTCTACAAACCCGATATCAACAACAAAAACAGCCGTCAGACATCCTATCCTATTCTAAATACCCTATCCTATTCTAAATACCCTATCCTATTCTAAATATCCTATCCTATTCTAAATATCCTATCCTATTCTTAATATCCTATCCTATTCTAAATATCCTATCCTAATCTGAATACCCTATCCTATTCTAAATATCCTATCCTATTCTTAATATCCTATCCTATTCTTAATATCCTATCCTATTCTAAATATCCTATCCTAATCTGAATACCCTATCTTATTCTAAATATCCTATCCTATCCTTGCTCACCTTTTCGTCCTTGAGTGATCCCACCACCACCACTGACTTCGACGCATCGAGTACGTGGATGACCGGTTCTTTATACCGCGGTGATATCTTGACGGCTGTGTGCATCTTGCTTGTTGTCGCCCCTGCGCAATTAGGAAAGGAGTGTATTTGCCCAATTGAATATACATGAATTAGGAATGGAATTCATTGGTTCAATTGAGTGTACATGAATTGGGAACGAAATGCATTTGTTCATTTGAGCATACATGAATTAAGATAATAAGTATAGTGTAAACCCCAAAATACAAAAACAACCCAGAATGAAAAAAGGAGGGGGGGGGGGGGGGATGG